CCAGAACACCACATGAAGTACAAGCAGTAGCCAGGCCTTGGTTTACCATGCAATACATCTGGCATTCTTGAAGGAAAGGTAGCTGTGGAAGTCCCAAATCCAGTTTAAACTTCTGCTCCTTATTAATTTCTCACTTAGTCAGGTGTTTTAAAAAAAAAAAAAAAAAAAAAAAAAAAGAGCACTGCAAGTTTAATACTTAAATATCAAAACAGACAATAATGTTTTTATAGAAAATAGGAAGCAGCCAGACTACATGAAAAGGATTAGGAAGAAGTTCTAAACACGAGGCAGCTGCCGTGGAGGCAAGAACAAATCTGCTCCTGCAAGAACCGCATGGCCATAGAGCAGTTCTAGAGAAGGAAGTGGTAATAAAACATTTCAAACACTATCTATTCCTGGGAAAAAGACAATAAATAAAAGAACACCCCAACATCCCACTCTTTGGTTAATATAGTTAAAGTTGTTTGCTGGTAAGTTTTGCTCTTCCTGAACATCAGCTTAAATTGCTTGCAAACTTCTAAAAAGATAGAAATAAGGTACATGCTAACTCCCTGCCACGGGCAATAGCCACCCAAACTACCCCCCAAAAAAATCTTTTTTTCTTTTCTTTTCTTTTTTTTTTTTTTTGGTATTTACAAACCAACTGCATGTCTCTGGCTGGCTACAACAGTACTGAACTACTTGAGGGCACAGGACAGCACTCTGATTGTGGTAGAGGAAATCTGGGTTTCCCAGAGTCACTCTCAGCTGTGCTAGAAGAAAAGCGATGCACAACTGCCCACAGAGCCAGTGCTCGTAACTGCAGCTGCGATGTCTGCATGCCATGCCAACAGCCATGCCACAAACACCGCCGGGGTGAGGCCAATGGAACGCTGTCTGATCACTTCGATGAGAAAGCAAAGCTTTCCACGAAACCCCACCACACAGGACTAGAGAACTGAAAAAATCAGCAAGTACACAGCTGTCTTCATGGCAAGAACTCGATGCTCAAGGAGGATACCACACTGGCACGTGTATAACCCCAGAACCTTCTCTCTCCCATAAGCCCAACATCCATAACTGTTTCTGATACTAAGATAATTTGTTGACTCATTTTCTACTGCTGGTGCTTTTTGAGGGGTGTGGATTGCAGGCATGGAAACAAGGAGGGTAGTACCTACCTTAGCACCTCACTTCAAAACAAGTTTCTTATAAACCTGGAGAATACTGGGCACGTCTTGTTGCATCTGATAACCTGAGGACCATGAGTTGCAAAACAGCATTATGTCAACACAGCTGTCAATATAATTATATTTAGTAATTTTATAACCCTCAGATATTTGAATTTTGCGCTAATTGATGTTCTGAAAGGCAATGAGATGAAAGACTGCTCTGTTTTGATCCAAAGTTTTCCACAAAGAAATAAATGCAATAGATGTGTTCAGCATACATCTCTGGAAATTTTAAACATGCAACCCTATCAGAATAGCAACTAGGTATTTCTAGTACCTCAGAAAAATGCCATGAGTCTTTAGACAAAATTGTGGGGCAGAAAAGAGGACAAACGGTTAAATGCAAAAGCCTGGACCCACCATTAGGGAATTAACTGCAGTAAGCATTTTTGATAACCATCTCCTCTGTTTTTGTGCAAGTTACGAACCGAGTCAGCCTCAAAGATAACACGTGAATCTGCCTCAACCTTTCAGCATGTATCCTTCTCCAGGATCATTATAAAATTTCAGACAAGCAGCCCGTAACTGCACACAGCTTCAAGAGGCACAGATTTAATAACATGGCAGAGAGCTGTTCCTTTCGGCCCTCTGCCATTACCTTCTCCTGGTGCTGTTGCACTTGTGCCTCCCAGGACGTGCTGAGGTCTGCCAGCATGGGCCACTGTGACCAGCGGTGCTGCCACTTCCTGGGGAGCGGAGCCCCACGGGACTGATGGGCATCTCCCAGCTCCATCACGGAGCGCAGTGGGACTGACGGGCATCTCCCAGCTCCATCACGGAGCGCAGTGGGACTGAC